GCTTAATAAGAAAGACCCAGAAAAAACCTTTATTTTTCCAGATTTTAATAATCATTCAGTTCTTCGAAAGGCATTTTTTAAGGACTTACAAACATTGTACCAAATTGAGATAAACTTTTTAACCAAAAGAGCATATAAACTAAATCATAAATCTATTTATCCAAATAATTTTGAAAGACAAAAAGTGTCTTTGGTAGAAAATATTTTTCATGAAAGTACAATAGCTGCTTTACAGTCATGTAGTATTTATACAGACACAGCCTCATTTTTAGAAATTATTAGAAGTTGGTGGAACATAATTAATGTAAAAACTAAATTTAAAGGACAGGCAAAAAGGAATGATTTGGCTACCCCAATTTTTTCAGATAATGATTTCAAAGTAGTTTTTTTAAAAAAATTTGTGATGTGGCTAGATTCTTGGCATCAAATTCCTGAAGGCTCTTCACTTACAAATGATACATACCTTGCTCTTAAAAACAGCACATCAATTTTGATCAAAGTAATAGAGTATTCATTTAATCATTTAAATATAGAATTTATATTACCTGGCAAATTCCAAACGGATAATTTAGAAGAAAGGTTTGGTCGTTATAGGTACCTATCTGGCTGTAATTATAACATTTCAGTTACTCAAGTGATTGATTCAGAAAAAAAAATTCGAATACAGAATATTCTGAAATCGTCTGTTACTAGTGATTTAACACAATTAAAATTTCAGCCACCTGATGATCTAAATTGTGCAACACTTAATCAGTTCATAGAATGTTCAGAATTTACTTCTATTTTTAATAGTGATTATCTGCGTACATACAATTGTGAGGAATCAAGTCAAATATATATTAGCGGATATGCAGTTCATACTGTACAAAAAACTCTTAAATGCCTTACCTGTAGAGATCTGATTGTACAAAGTATAGGTGATAAGGTAAATGATGAATATTTTGATTATCTGCAACGAGGTGGTTTATCTGTTGCAACAAATGAAGTTCATTATATTTATTATCACTCGTGTGCTCTTTTTGAATACATAATTAAACATCCAGAAACTATGTCACTGTTTTTGTCTCATAAAAATCAAAAATATTTATTGGCTTCTTTAGCCCTCACGAGTTTGGAAAGTGACAATTTTTATATTGATTTTTCTAAAATTTGTGTTTGTGGAACAGCTGTTAGAGAATTATATTTTAAAATTTCTGTGATTTTCTCCAATACTTTGTTAAATAACTTCACAAAAAACAAGAATAATGAAATTATGACAAAGAAACTAACTAAAAGTTTATCTAAAAAGCGCAAGCTTTCAACTTTAAAAAAATAAATACCTGGAATTTCAATAACATTTTTTTAAGCCACTCTTAATAAATATAATATTCGCTCAAGGGATACTAGAATTCAATAAACTGCAAGTTGTTTACAAAAATATTAAAAGAATATTTTCTTTTTTTTTAACGTAAATTATGTAAATAATGTAAGCTGAATGCACTTGTATTACTTTTAAATTCTATTAATATTACACCTCATTGTATTCAATGTTTTGCAGTTTTAATAGATGTGATATATATATATATATATATATATATATATATATATATATATATATATATATATATATATGTACCTTATCAAACTATTTTGTTCGATTTTTTTACTTAATTTTAACTTTATAGCGAATATTATGATGTTCCTCTTTTATTTATTATTTTGATGGGCTCTTTATAGTCGGACTACTTCTAACAGCTGATGCGGCGTTGCCATTTTTAGTTCACGGCTTGTAAGCTTTAGGTGGCTGTGATATTACTGCCGAGATACACGAGTTTCTCTACTCTGTCCAGTGTGGCATCTCCGACTTTTATACCGTCATCATGTATATAATTTTGTTTGCTAACTATCATATATTTAGTTTTCTTAACGTTGAGTTTTAATCCATACTGATCACAAGTCTGTTTTATTTTGTTCATTAGATTTTGAAGGTCTTCTCCGCAATTGGCAAGGACTAAGGTATCGTCGGCATATCTAATATTGTTGACGGTTACTCCATTCACAATAATACCTTCGGTTGTCTCCATTAAGGCTTCCTTAAATATTTCCTCCGAATATAAGTTAAAAAGTAAAGGCGACAATATACAGCCTTGTCTCACTCCTCTTTTTATATTTATTTCATCCGACAGTTCTTGTTCAACCTTTATTCTTGCCACTTGATGCCAGTATAGATTTTTAATTATTCGTAGATCTTTATCGTCCAATCCAGCTGTTTCCAATATTTCTAGCATTTTGTTATGTCGGACTTTGTCAAAATCGATTGCACAAATATACACATTTTGATTTATATCTCTGCATCTCTGTACTAGCACCTGTATACTAAACAAGGCTTCTCTTGTACCCAAGCCACTCCTAAACCCAAATTGAGTATTGCTAATTCTGTCCTCTAACAGCGTATAAATTCTGCTGTGTATTACTCGCAGAAAGATTTTCAAAACGTGACTCATCAGACTTATTGTCCGATAATCACCGCATGTCTTTGGACGATGTTTCTTAGGTATTGTGACAAATGTCGACTTTAACCAATCAGTTGGTAATATCCCAGTGTCATAAATTCTGTTAAAGAGATTACACAGAGCTTTAATTCCATTTTCTCCCAAAAACTTTAGTATTTCAGCACTTACTTCATCGGGGCCAAGTGCTTTTCCATTTTTTGCCGTTTGTATTGAACGTCTTACCTCACTTTCTGTTATAGATGGACCTGATATAGCAATCGGTGTATAGTGTTCTACTCTCTCATCTTAAAATAATTCAGAAATGTAGTTTTCCCATTCTTTTAACTTTTCATTGATGTCTAATATTCTGTGTCCGTTTCTGTCTTCTAAACTTTGGGATACTTGTTTCCATTTGTTTCCAGCGACCTCTTTCAATTTCTTGTGCAGATGAAATGTACCGTGTTTCTTTTCATATTGTTCAATTTCATTACATTCTTTACTATGAAATTGTGTTTTCGCGTGTCTTATCTTCTGCCTGATTATTGCGTGGATCCTCTTGTATTCTTTTTTATCTTTATTTCTGACTTCTCTTCTTTGATCCATAAGTCTCAGTATTTCTTCTGTCATCCACCTTGTTTTTTCTTGCTTTTAGCGCAGTCAATTTTGTTTCTTGAACAGTCTTTAAGATGTCTTTAATTCTCGTCCAGTTTTCCTCAGTACTTTCTTCTTTGCTTGATGTTAACTTCATCTTTTGTTCTAATATACTAGTTATTTCTTGTTTTATAGTATCATTTCGCATCGTTTCTCTATCAATAGTAACTGTTTGCTTATTCGTCCTTGCAACTCTTTTTAATCTCAGTCTTATTTTTCCTACTAAAATATTGTGATCTGTGAGAAAATAACTAAAGATATACAAACAGTCACTAAGAAACTTTGTTGTAGAATAAGAAAACAAAAAAAAGCCAAACTAAAACCGGAGACTCTAGAACAGATAAAGAAAAGAAAAATAACGAACAGAGAAAACCCGGACTATAAAGCGCTCAACAGAAGCATTAAGAAAAATATTCGAAAAGACCTCAGAGCTTATAGAACAAACCAGATTCTTGAAACAATAGAGAACAATAAGAACATGAAAGTACTAAAAACATGTAAATCCACTGGTAGGAATAAAATCATAAAGATAAAAGACGACAGTGGAACATTGTGCTCGCATAAGGAAGAGATCGTTAGAGAAATCCGAAATTTTATGAGAAGCTGTATACTTCTACTATTTCGAACCCCGGTATACCAACAAAACATATATTAAATGCGGATCTCCCTGAAATAATAACATCAGAAATTAGAGCCGCCCTAAAACAAATGCAAAATGGGAAAACACCAGAAGATAAAATTACTTCAGAAATGTTAAAAATGGGAGGCACAGCATTAGAAGAGGCAATGAGAGCGTTACTGAATAAATGCCTATTGGAAGGACAAATACCAAAAGCATGGATTGACAGCTAAGCTAGATGCATACCAACCGTGGAGCAAGCAGGCTTTCGTAAGGGATTTAGCACCATCGATCACTTGCAAACAATCCGGACAATTATTGAAAAAACAATAGAGTACAACATACCACTACATCTGGCATTTGTCGATTATCACAAAGCATTCGACAGTATCGAGAAACGGGCTTTCTTAACAGCATTGGACGACGCCAGAGTAGATTCAAGATATGCTGTCCTCCTAAAGAATATATACGATGATGCTACTTTTCACGTAAAAATAGATGATGATCTGGAAACTATGAAAATAGACCTTGGTAAAGGTGCGAGACAGGGCGACACCATCTCACCCAAGTTATTTACTTTTTCATTAGAAAATGTCTTCAAAAAACTAAATTGGGCCGAAAAGGGATTAAAAATAGATGGAGTATATCTTAACCATTTGCGTTTCGCAGACGACATAATACTAATAAGCACAGATATCCATGAACTAAAATCAATGCTACAAGATTTAAATCACAAATCGAATCCAATAGGATTAAAAATGAATCTCGACAAAACAAAGATATTAAGTAACAGCCTAGAAAACATCAGGATAGATAACATCAATATAGAAAAGGTAGAACAATATATATATATATATATATATATATATATATATATATATATATATATATATATTATATATATATATATATATTATATATATATCTATATATATATATATATATATATATATATATCTATATATATATATATATATATATCTATATATATATATATATATATATATATATATATATATATATATCTAGGACACGCAATTAAAAACGAAAAGAAAAATCAAACACTAGAAATTAAAAGAAGGACACAATTGTGATGTGCTGCTTTTGGTAAGTTGAGCTTCATTTTAAAAGACAGTTGTTTAAAAACATTGTCGCAGTTCCTGATAATACCTCTGTTTTGTTTTCATCCGGCCTACCTGTATATGGAGTGACACACTTGAATTTATATAAGACCATCGATAAATTCGTAACCGACCTACCTTGAATATTCGCCTCCGACTTGATACACAACAACTCGATATACTTGTGCTTTAAAATGGTGTAGTTGAACTTTTTCATGTTGAAGGACTTCAACGCCTCCAAGGGTTGTATGAACTCCAGCACGTCGTCCCATTGTCCGTCGAGGATGAGTTGTCGTAAGAATAGAACGTCGTCCGAGTAGTTACCGTTGATAACGCCCGTTTCTCTTTCGAGGCTCAATTGGGAGATGTGTAACTGGCGATTGTAGAGGAATTCGAGAGCCAATCGGACGACGTCCTCTTCGCGGAGGGTTAGTCGAGCCGATGGCATTATGTAGCGAATATGCAATCTGAAAAGAAAAAATTATATAAATTCTTATTCTCTTTACAAAGAAGTCGTTGTCGTTGACTTGGCAATTCATTAAAGTCAGTGTTCCGTGTTGAATCTTGACAAAGACAAGGGTTTCCTGTCGAAACGTTGATTTCTATGGAAAATAAAATCTAGTTCCATATTGAATATAATTCATTGAGCCTAAACCCAAGAAATAATAACGGACCTCTATTTAACGGAGTTTGGATATAACGGACAAAAAATCCGGTCAAATGCAAAAAAAAATAAAAAACGTACTCTTAATTACGATATAATAACGCGTAGCCTACCCTTTAAATATGAACAAACGGAAAAGAAACAATCGAAATCGATCAGTCAGAAACTAGAGATTCTACAAAACTTGGAGTCTGTGTCTGGAACGTCAGTGTCTCATATATGTGATCAATATGGCATAAAAAAGCAAACTGTTTCGGACATAAAAAACAAGAGCAAAATAAATAAATTTGCAATTATGTGTGGTGAAGGAGAGAAGAGCAATCCCAGAAAACGAATGAAATTGGCTTCTGAAACTTTACTGGAAGAAGCAATCTTAAAATGGTACCTCCAACAATGTTTCAGTGGGGTGACGGTCCGGGCAGTCGAACTGAAATCTGCTGAAATTAAGCACATTCAGACACGGAATCATTAATAGAATTTACGGCGAAGCTTCAAGTGCACCAAAAGAAGAAATGGAACTTTTTAGGCACAAATTAGTGGACATATCAGTAATGAAATGCTATTAAAATCTCAGATTTATAATGCTGACGAAACTGATTTGTTATGACGTACTTTACCTGAAAGCATAAAACCCTCCAAATATGAAAAATCCAATTCTAGAAGAAAAATCAGCTAAGACAGGGTATGGGCACTGTTTTGAGCTAACGCCGATTGATCGCATATATTGACTCCTGTAATGGTTGGCAAATCTCGTAAACCTAGAGTTTTAAAAGATATAATGCATCATCCCCCTGTTTCATATTATAGCTCCAAGGAATGGAAGATGGTTCACCTCGTTTTTGACAACAAAAAATACAACATCGCTTATTCAACCTATGGATCAGGGTATACTTTTGGTAACCAAACGAAGATATCGCAGATATTTTAGACGAAGTAATGGTTGTATTAAGTGAAAAGTGAAAGAGCAAACATTAAAAAATGGTTGAAAGAATTTGATTGATGCCAAAGATGCAGACATAGATTTAGAAGGTCTGGAAGTTACAGATTTGTGTAATACAATACATAATAATGCGGGGGAGAACATGTAGCTGAGGAAGATATTTTACAATGGCTAGAAGTAGATGAAGGTGACCCTGGGTATTACATCATGATTAAAAGTGAAATAGCAGATGAAGGTATGAACCTAAAAAATGAGGATGGAAGTAAAGATAGAGAAAAAGATGACAGAACGCCATGATCATAAAAAACAGCAAAAAATCGAAAGTGCAAACGAAACTTAATTCCTTTTTCAAAACAGGATTACCGACAGCAAGCGTCGATATCGACAGTCACTTCACGACGAACGTCCGAAAACTTCTTCTTCTTAAGGTTCCATCTTCTAACGAAGGTTGGATATCAACATGGCAATTCTTATTTTACTTACAGCAGCTCTAAATAGTTGGCTAGAGCTCAGACTAAACCATTCCCTTAGATTTCGTAGCCAGGAGGTTCGTCTTCTTCCTACATCTCTTTTACCTTTTATTTTGCCCTCTATAATCAAACGTAGTAGCCCATAACGAGGACCTCTTAATATATGACCGAAATATTCAAGTTTCCGCCTCTTAATTGTCTGTACAATTTCTTCCCTCTTATTAACCCTATCAAGGACTTCAATATTGGTAATTTTGTCTACCCATGCTATTCGTAGCATCCTTCGATAACACCAACGCTCAAAAGCTTCCAATTTCTTAATCTCCAGTTGTTTCAATGTCCATGCCTCAGATCCGTAGAGCAAAGTTGTAAAAATGTAGCAGCGCAATAACCTTATCCTTAGATCCATTCTTAGGTCTCTACTACACAATAGATGTTTCATTTTTACAAATTTTGCCCTTGCTATTTCTATACGGCTTTTAATCTCTTGCGTTTGTTCTGCGTTTTGACTAACCAATGTTCCTAGATATTTGTATTTATCTACCCTTTCTATCTGGATATTATTAATATGGAGTGTCTCGTTGTCTTTTGGATGTTTTGTAATGACCATGAATTTTGTTTTCTTTAAGTTCATTTTAATACCATATATGGTACACTTTTCATTCAGCCGTTCCAGTATGTTTGTTAGACTTTGCAGAGTTGAAGTGAATATGACAGTATCATCGGCATATCTTATATTATTAATAATTTCACCATTTATTATCATTCCATCGTTACACTCTCCTAAAGCTTCTTGGAAAATGGCTTCGCTATATATATTAAACAGCAGTGGTGACAATACACAGCCCTGTCTCACACCCCGAAGAATTTCTATTTCTTCCGACATTTGATTTTCAATTCTTATTTTGACTTTCTGGTTCCAGTAGAGGTTCGAGATTACTCTGATGGCGCGGCTATCGATGTTTTTCATTTTTAAAATATTAATTAGTTTATTGTGCTGTACCTTGTCAAATGCTTTTTCAAAATCAATAAAACATGTATACATGTCTTGGTTCATATCCAGATTTCTCTGCATGAGCACATTTATACCGAACAATGCTTCCCTGGTTCCCGTGCCGTTTCTAAAGCCTAACTGACTATCACTAATTTCATCATCCAGCTTTCTGTAAATTCTGTTGTGGACTATTCGTAGAAATACTTTCAAAACATGGCTCATTAATGCAATTGTACGGTGTTCTGAGCATTCTTTTGCATTTTGCTTTTTGGGAATAATTACGAATGTGGATACTAACCACTCCTTTGGTAAAATACCTGTTTGATAAATATGATCATAAAGTTCTACTAGAATGTCTATCATTTCATCATCGATCAGTTTAAGAAACTCAATCGGGATTTCATCCGGACCTGTGGCCTTTTTCCCTTTTGTCTGTTTTAATGCGTATTGAACTTCCTGTTTTAAAATTTTTGGTCCTGATTCACCAGAGTCCTCATCTATGATTTGTTGTCTGTCATCCCCGAATAGTTCTTTTATGTATTCTGTCCATCTGTTTAGTTGTTGTTTTGTATCTGTGAGAATGTTACCATTCGAGTCTTTTATAACATGTATATTATTTTGTTTTCCCGACGTCATTTCCTTCACTTTCCGATGAATATTGAAACTATCATATTTCTTTTCATATTCTTCTATTTCGTGACATTGTTCAGTTAGCCATCTTTCTTTTGCTGTTATTATGTCTTTTCTAATCCTGCTGTTTAAGGATTTGTATTTGCTAGTGTTTATGTTTTTATATTTTCTTCTTTCATTCATGAGAGTTAGTATTTCGTCTGTCATCCACATATGTCTTTTCTTTGGTATTGGTCCACGTATTTCTTCTCCCGCTTCTTTTAAAGCTTGTTGAACCTCTCTCCAATTTTCATTTACGTCTTTAGAGTTGGTGTTTTTTGACTTGATGGGTTTAAGATTATCATTGATTTTCTGTCTAACTCTTTGTTCTATCTGAGTATCTTTTAATCTTGTCACATCGAATGCTTTTCTAATCTTTTTGTTTTTTAACTTCCGAAAACAATTAAATAGAATTAGAATAGAATAGAATTTGTATTTTTTATATCTAAATACTCTACATATATATTTAAAAAACAGTTTTTGATTTATTTTAAACATATTTTTATAAAAAGAACTTTCGGCTTTAACGGACACCCTGTCCCCCTAGTAGTCCGTTATATCAAAACTTTACTATATATATATATATATATTATATATATATATATATATATATATATATATATATATATAAATATATTTGTTTGTGGTTTTATTGTTAATTGGACACCCTGTAGATGAATTAACTGTTGTAGAGAAAGAATATTTCCTTTCGAAAACAGTATTTATCTTCCATTTTCACTTGATTGAATGACTAATGCGGAACTTTAATGGTTTAATTTGGTAACTAAAACAGTCACTTAACACTTGGAATCGTTTCATGCTTTGTGAATTACAACTGAAAGTTTTGAGTTTTATAGCACAGGAAGGACTTTTAGATTTAGAATGTAAATTTTTAACATACTGAATTAGAATATTATTGATTTTATTATATGGTTCGACAATATATGTTAATATCCAGAGAGATGTAGGTAAGATATTTTTTATGGGACTAAACCACAAACTGTTGTAATTTTCATTACATTTGTTTTAAGGTTACGATTTCCAATTCGGAAATTGTTTTCAAAACACTCTAAAATTAAGTTATGAATGATCTTAATCTGTAAATGTTTATAAATGGCGTTGGGTTATAATACCAATTTGACAGTTAACTTACTTGGCCTTGATTTTATAGGAATTCAGCCATGTTTTGATGTGAAATTCTGAGAGATGTTGTACCCTATGCTCATTATCACAGACTTGTTTGCTTGAGTTAAGACGTTTGGTACAGATCATGTAGAATATTCAGTCGAGAGTGAGAGCGTGATAAACGAAGTGATGAAGAAAATTATCGGGGTCGATAAGACAATTGTGCAAGACGTATAAAAGCAACATTTAAAGTGGTATGAGCATAGATTTAGATTTGAAATCGATTATCTAGCTGACCGGAAGTCTGTGCTCCGGGGGAGCGCAAAGAGGAGGCAGGATGTGGTACAGCCCAAATCCGCTTTGCGAATTCCCGGGGATGGGGTAAGTCCTCCCCTACACGGCGCGTCCCAATGGCTCATAGGGTATCTCCATGAAGTGCTGAGCCATCGCGCATCCCAGACTCTTTACGGAATGTAAGGGTTGCGCGACCGACCAGGGCACCATGGATAAGCAATCGATAAGGATCGGAAACCAGTTCCAAAAATTGCTCGCCGACCAAAAGGGCCGATCCTACCCAAACTCCAAC